TCTCTCCCTGTCGTAGAGAGCCACTGCGAAGGGGGTTTTTTTGGAGGAATAGCCAAGTCCAATTTTGATAAAATTTTAATTTATATCCAAAAAACCAACGAAATCAAGAGAAGCAATAATTGCGACCAGAATGCCGTTGCGATGCTGTAGCTGTTTGAATTTCCAGGTAGCATAAATCAAGTGTAAATTGCCAAACATTCCCAGAACCAATAGTGGTACCATCAAAATTCCAAGCAGTACCAGGCTTCTCATTTCCCTGACTGATATAGAACAGCTTTTCTTAAACTGCACTTTCAAAGCCGCTGCGATATTCTTGTTATTTCAAATATCGCAATCGGCTTTGAAAGTTAGTTTGCAACATTCTGTGACTCTTGGGAGCGGCAGTGGGATTTTGCGTTGTTGGGTAGTAAAAGAAGCAGCGTGAAATTTGTACCATCTAATGTCCGACATTTCTTGCTTATGCCAGTTCGATTGTCTTATTTATTCTCTTACTTTTTTTAACCAACCCTTCTGAAAAATTCATGTTCTTCACGACAGCAATTTTTTGTAACCTTCTGCGAAACCAAACATGCTCATGAGTAATCTATAAATTTAAAAAAGTACCGTTTAATATTTTTTGCTATCCTGAAGTATCGTGCTAACATGCATGGCGCAGCGAGAAGTTGAATTGCTGTCGTGCAGTAGGTTCAGGGTTCAGCTTTTTTGGCAGGATAAATTTCTCCTTACACCGTTCATTCGTTTCGATGATAAATTGGTACTAGCATGCACAAAGGCCTCAAACAAGCCATCACCTTGCTTTTAAACAAGAAATGCACGAAGGTGATATCGGCAGCGGGTGACTACTATTGTCAGATTCTATCCGTAATGTGAAATGCGGAGGGCTTTTGGCTTCTTATACGCTAGAGTGTGGTATAGTGCACTAGCGCGCAGCAGTATGCCGATAATAGCGACGCTTCACAGTAGTAGCTTACTACAAAAATCGAAGCCTCTCCCGCATTCGCTCTCTACTACAGGCAGATGCACTCGGGAAATAACCGAGTTCTAGCACTTGAAGTCGATCCTCAAATGTTCGCTACAGGAAAGTGGTAATTTTTTGCTTGTTAGGATTTATTTATTTATTTTTTAAAAAGCGTGATATGCTTTTTTTAAAAAAGTTCTTGAAATCTTCCACTCGTCAGATCTTTCCGAAACAAAGCCCGTTCTCAGAAAGGCCCTTCAGAAGACAAAAATAACCACAGGTTTATCAGAATAATGATCACGGAGCAGTGCAACATTGGCCGAAAACACATGAAGCTCTGTTTTGAAAAGCACCTGGTTGCCGGTGTGAAAAAATGAGGAGCGTAACCAAAAAACTGGAGCTGATTGTTGTTGTCGATATTAGTTGCCACGCGCTC